ACTGGTAGGAACCCACCTCTGGTGCAAGAGGCCCCTTAACTTCAGCCCGCGGCCCGCAGATCAGCCGATCCAGAAAGGACCAGAAGTTCTGTCTCCGTTTCTGGCATACTCTTGCCAGCCCTATTGTTGCTGCTCTTTTTGTGACCGCCACTAAGAGAAGGGTTGCTAGGGTTTCCAGGAGCAGGCTCCGCGAGACCGTTCCACATTGATGGCAGGTGCATGTGGAGTGCATGGAGCATGTTCTCCCCCTTCCCCCAGGAAATGGCAGGAACTGGCTGCGCGTGAGGTTAAATATTTTAGGGGAGGGATTATTTGGGGGGAGATCTTATTTTGGGGGGAAACAGGGTAGGAACAGCTGAAGATGAGATAGCGAAGCTAACCAAGCCGGGGACACGAATCAAAAAGAAGACCAAGATCTCAGCAATAAGATGGGTCTGATGGGGAAATTAGTATCCTACATTCTCTTGGGCTGGTGTTGTTGCTCTCTAAAAACTCCTATTTGCTTGGTCTTCTTTGCTTGACACCACTTTTTCAAGCATCCTTCCTTCCTCTTACACATTATCTCTCTTTCACTTCTCAGTGTGCCTAGGGATAAGATTGAACAGGCTGATCGGATGATGCTCATGGGATAGTGGATCGAAACCAAGAAGAAAGTCTTCGGCATGCCTCACCATCAAAGCAGGTTGACGTGGGAAGCAGAACTTTTTGGAGGTCTGAGTTTCCATAGGCATTGCTCCAGTGGTGTGGAATTTAAAACTCTGTAAAAGTAGATTCCCTTAATTAAAAATTGATTCGTTCCATCAGGCCATAATAATTTCGTTTAGTGTGATCCTGTGGAAGAGGGTAACAAGGCTTGTATTTTTGTGGAGAAAAAGGCTCATCTGATCATCATAACCAAAGGAATAAGGGGGAACAGGGAAACTAGGGTGCTGTTTTCAAGCCCAAATCTAACTACCTCATTGCCCATATAGATTTGGGTCCTTTTATTGTGTGTGTGTTTAATGATTGTCAATGCACCTTTTCCGTCTCTTATAAAATCTTTTTTCAATCTATATTCTCTTTCTCGCTATATCTCAGTCAGTTGGGCTGGCAGCCCAGAAATCACTGTTATAAGGCATTTTAATAAAGAATCTTGCTGAAAATGAGCTAATGGGTTCTTTGAATGCAAGACAGGGGATGGATGGGAGGTTTGAATGAGAGAAGGTGTTTATGGAATTTGTCTGACATATCTTTGGGGCCAAATCGATGAAACAGCTACAGCCTTTAGCAAAGTTGTAGATGAATCTGTTGTTCATGTGTACCTGCATTTGATTGCTTCAATGTGTACGAGAAAGATTTAAAACCCAAAGACATTGCAACTAATTAAATTCTACCCTCCCCTATTCTCACCATTCTATACAGCCTGCCAAATTCTTTCTACTCGAAATGGCTTATATATGAAACTGTGTGAGTACAGTGTAAATGTTTCTGTTAAAGCTGCAACAGGTTAAATGTAAACAGCATGGAAAACTGCATAATTTTTTATCAAAAGCTTTAATTGATTCTAACAGTTTCAACAGCGTTAGTTCAACATGATTCAAAACATTCAGCCTCCCTCACCCAAAAAATAAAATAAGATAAAAGCTATATATCTAAACCTTATGTTGCCGTGAACAGCTACTATTTATATTTAGAGCTATCATATCTAGATTGCAAGTATCTGAATAACCACTAGGGACAGCAGCGAAGAGGTGGAAATCTCTGGTGACACCTTGTGGTCAATTGAAGTTTTGCACTTCAAATACGGTAACTGCATCAATTCAGCAGATCATGCATTTTTCAATTGGTGTTTGGTAGGTAAAGTAATGTAAAATATCAAAATAATTCCCCCCTTCCAGAAGCAGATACTAGCTGGAATCCCAGTTAAGAACAATCATCTCAACTGCTGGAGCTTCAACATTTGAGAATCCATGGCGGGATTCAGACATCAGCATTAGATTAGTAGTAGTGTCACTTGTTTGATGTAGGCTTCACTCAGTGTTAGAAACAAACCAGAGCTTATGCTGGTAATCTCAATTAATAAGTAGGCTTGTAGGATATGTGAATCCAGTTGGTGGGAGGTTGCTGTTTGCAATAGAACAAAAGATGCTATGTGGTGCTTACAAGACCAATGGCTCACTTGTGGTCTGGGACACTAGAACAATGTTTCCCAACCTTGGGAAATTTAAGACACATGGACTTCAACTCCCAGAATTCCCCAAAGAAGTCATGCTGGCTTAAAGTTACTAACGTTATGAAACCTTGCACTAAAAGATATTCCTGCTTGTAGCAAAAGGTGAATCTGTCAATTGCTGAATTTCCCAACATTCAATATTCAATATATATTTTTTAAAAAATACATGAAAATTCAGACAAAATTTGCACACATTGGGTGAATCTTTTTCTCATCCCTTTCCCTTAATGCGATGCAATTGTGGATTCTCTTCTCCAAATACTTATGCCTCCGTGGATTTCTTTTTAATATACATAATTTTACCATTTTAGCTGTAAACCCCACTGCCCAATTGTGTTCAAATGCAGATTTTTTTCAGAGATACTAATTGAATGAGTTCATATGAAGAAAAGAGTTTTCTCTTCCATCCATCCATGATACAGTGCAGATTGCATTCCTGGGAATGTTGGTGTTATGAAAACTGATCTTGAATCAAGGTGCCGTATAAGAGTGGGTTTTGAAATAAGCTTCAAAAAAAAAAAAGGAAGGAAAAAAGTGTTTGGTATTTTGAATTTCAAACAATCATATGCCACCCCCCTCAGGGCAATAAATCAGAGGTGGTATCCAACAGGTTCTGACCAGGTTGTAGAGAATCGGTAGTGGAAATGTTGAGTAGTTTGGAGAACCGGTAAATACCACCTCTGACTGTCCCTGTCCCCATTTATTCTCTGCCTCCTGAGTCCCAGCTGATCAGGAGGAAATAAAATATCAATCCAAACGATGAAGAT